ATAACTCACAACAACCTCAAACTCCTGGGCTCAAGCAATCCTCTTGTCTCAGCCCTCAGCCTCCTGAGTATTTGGGAATATAGGCACCTGCCACAATGCTGGGCTAGTTTCTCTATTTTTAGTAGAGATGGAGTCTTGCTCTTGCTCAGGCTGATCTGGAACTGAGCTCAAGTAATTCATCCACCTCAGCCTCCCAGAGTGCTAGGGACACAAGGGTAAGCCACAGGTCCCAGCCCTTTCTATTAATATTTTAATAAAATTGTGAACTAGACATGAAATAACTTAAAGAAGGTTAGGGATAAGGAGCTAGGGTCCTGAGAAGAAGGGGCTTGATAAGTTCCCACCTAACAAGTACAATGTACAGATATATGGCACACTTCCTGGGTAAAGGACACAATTACATCTCAGACTTTACCTTACAAACACAAGAAATGTAATCTAATCATGTGTACCCTCATATCAATGTGAAGCTTCAAAAGTCCTGGTTAATGTAAAATTAGATAAAAATAGTCAAATAATTGGGTATGGGACTTGATAATGACTGATTGGCTAATAGTGATTGGCATTATTTTATATATTTTTTCTCTACAATGGCATACTAGCAAGAGAAGCTCAAGCATTTTTCAAGGTATAAACAAATATGCATTCATTTAAACTCTTCTTCATATCTTTTCTTTCTGAAGGTGCACTTACAGAGTGCTATGATGAACTGGGGAACAGATACCAGCTTCCAGTCTATTGCTTAGCACCACCAATCAACATGATAGAGGAAAAAAGTGACATAGAGACTCTGGATATTCCTGAGCCACCACCCAATTCTGGATATGAATCTCAGCTCCGTTTGCGCCTTTCTACAGGCAAAGACCTCAAACTTGTGGTTCGTAGCACAGATACAGTATTCCACATGAAGAGACGGTTACATGCAGCTGAAGGAGTGGAACCAAGTAGTCAGCGGTGGTTTTTCTCTGGCAGACCTCTCACTGATAAAATGAAGTTGGAAGAGCTGAAGATCCCAAAGGACTATGTTGTACAGGTTATAGTGAGCCAACCTTTGCAGAACCCAACACCAGTTGAAAACTGAACCCATCCTATTGGCTGGTTCCCTGATCCTTCTGCTCCTTTTTATTGTGATGTTATTTCCTACTCTATGGCGTGAAATTTATTTTCACTGCTCTAAATTCCCTATGAATGGATTTAGTTCTGAGGAATTAACCAGTGAAAATTTCCATCTGTGATGGAGACCAACAAAAATAATAAAACACAAAGAGCCAGCCTTTGAGACTCATGTAATTACAATTTCTAATTTGAGAAGCAGTTAAGAAATAGATAACCATTTATTTTAAAACAACTATGTAATGGCTATATTTAAAGGATTTGGAACATTGCATCATGAAGAATAGCACCAAGCACCTTTTGAATACAGATTTTTAAAAAATATATCAAATTATAGAATTTCCAGAAAACATCAATAACAGTTATAAAATGTAAGTTTTTTTCTTTAATGAAAACTGAAAAGAGTAGTAATTTGATGTTTGCTTCTGTTCTGGTTTTTGATTCTTAGCTCATATATTTAGCCATAAAGGAGTAGAGACTGGAGAATTGTGCTTCAGTGTTGCTTTCCTCATCCCCACATGTTGAGGTCCTTATTTACATTCACACTAAATTTTGGTGCCTTTCAGCACATTGGTGGCAGGCATACTTCTGGAACACGAGGCAATAATGTAGTCAGTGCAGTCTCTGGTTTTCAACTGATACTCAGTTGAAAAGTCTCTTATCCTCTTGCTGCATACACATTTTGAAAGGTCTGTATAATGAAGCTGTTTTCATATCAAGGCTTAGAAGGTCACTACTGTATAATACCTTCATTGATTTATCTGTTCTCCTTAGAGCTTTTCATAGCCAACTGTGACCCCAAATGTATGGTTCCCGAGCCAGAGAACCCAAGAATCAAGTACAGTTGTTCCCACTACTACAGGATAATCACATAATTATTCTCTTCTCCTCCACATTGCAGAAAGAGTGTAAGGAAAACCCATTCTATCTGTGCCTGGGAGAACTGTGCCTATTTTCAGTCTCTTAGAGAAAATTTCAGCTCAAAATTTACAAGTGTGAAAGGTTTACTGGCATCACCAAATAATGAAACATTGCTTTATACCTTAGTCTTAGAGCTTCCTCTGTTCATGGTGGATGACAATTTTCCTCCCTCATCTTTCCTAGCAAAAGCAAATTAAGAACCATCTGTAAATCAGGGAACTGAGAAAAAAGTGCAGTGAGATAACCTGATTTTTCTGTCCTATGACTAGAGTAAAGCTGCCAAGGTTTATGTTTAATTTGGAGCCTTTTAAAAGTTGGTTCCTTAGGGCAGCACCTGTGGCTCAAAGGATTAGGGCGCTGGCCCCATATGCCAGAGGTGGCGGGTTCAAACCCAGCCTCGGCCAAAAACTGCAAAAAAAAAGTTCTTTACAAGAGAAAGGGATTAAGAGTTGACCACTGGACTCCCGAGAATCCATGAGATAGAAAAGTAGAGACCAGAAGGCACTTAGACAGTTTCTCAATTGGGAAATAGAAACCTTCGCACCTACTTAGATGTGAAACACCATTATTAATTCTGATGACAAAAGGAAACTGCTAATTAGTTTAAATGTAATGTTTAAAATGGTATTACATTTTCTGTAACCTTATTAAATATATCTGTAATTGTAACTTACCATGTTTCTTAAAGCTTTAACTACTTCCCTATTTTTATGCAATCATTTTAAAGATTGTGGCTGTCTCTAATTTAGGATTGCTGATGATTAAATCTAAATTCAAGAGAAAACAGCATTAATTCCAAAGGAGAATTTTTATATTTAGACGTGGAGGTATGAGAGTATTTTAATATGTTGCTCTGTCATCAAAAAGTTTTGTGTGCCACGTTGAATAGTACCATCTCTCAAAGTTTGTCAACTGGAAAAAAAGTGTTTAAGCCTACGTTTTTTAAGGAAAACTGATGATGTCATCATTATCTATGATTGACAAAAGGTTTGTTTGTTGAGAATTTGAGCTCTCTTATAAGAGTTAATTTTACTTTAAAGGAACGTATACTTTGAATAACACTACTCTGGGCATGTTCAACTAACCTAGATGAGAAAACCATGGTGCTGTTTAATTGTAAATAGATTGATGTAAGATTGGACCAATACTTGATGTGTATAATTTTAGTATGTAGGGTTTTGTGCTTTTTTTAAAAAAAAAAAAAGTTCAATTCTCTCTTTGTCTTTGCCTTTATTCTGGGTTTTTCATTATTGTTACTCTCTATAAGGGTAATCTGTCTCATTCTAATGAGAAGTGTGAAGGCCTCCTTTTTAAAATCCCAGCTCAATAAATAAGTTCATTATCACCAAACTTAGGCTCTGCTATGCCAAGTCATACATGGTCATTTATAAATATGTTTTCATTTCTGCATTGAGATCTTGGTCTCAAATAGGCTATTGATTTTTCTCTTAAGAATCATGCTATAAACCAAAACTCATAAGTTTTTCTGAAGCTCTGAGCTCATTTTTTGAACAAAAGTGACAGGTTTTGTTTTAAATGCTTAGTATTTTATTTAAAATCAATGATACTTGCCAATGGAATATAATCCAAACATACCAAGGTGAAAAGAGTCTCCCTTGCACTGCCTTCCCTCATCTCTTATTTCTTTTTCCCAAAGGTAACAACTTTTGCCAGTTTTCTGGGTATCTTTAAAGGTACTCTAGCACAGTGGTTTTCACATTTAAGTATGCATGAGAATCACCTGTGAGGCTTATTAAAACATTGCTAGGGCTCGATGCCTGTAGCTCAGCAGCTAGGGTGGCAGCCATGTGCACTGGGGCTAGTGAGTTTGAACCCAGCCTGGGCCTGCTAAACAACAATGACAACACTAACAAAAAAATTGCCAGGCATTGTGGTGGGCACCTGTAGTCCCAGTTACTTGGGAAGCTGAGGCAAAAGAATTGCTTAAACCCAAGAGTTTGAGGTTGCTGTGAGCTGTGACACTGTATCACTCTACAGAGGGTGACATAGTGAGACTCTGTCTCAAAAAAAAAAGATTGCTAGGCCCTTTCCCAGAGGGTTCTGAGTCATTAGGTCTGGGTAGGACCCTATAATTGGCTTTTTTTTTTTTTAAGTCAGAGTCTCAAGCTGTTGTCCCTGGGTAGAATGCCGTAGTGTCATCATAGCTAATAGCAACCTCCAACTCTTGGGCTCAAGCAATCCTCTTGCCTCAGTTTTTTTATTTTTAGTAGAAACGGGGGTCTTGCTCTTGCTCAGGCTGGTCTCAAAACTCCTGAGCTCAAGTAATCCACCTGCCTCGGCCTCCCAGAGTGCTAGGATTAAAGGTGTGAGCCACCACTCCTGGCCTATAATAATTGGCATTTTTAAAAGTTCCCCAGTGTGCTTCTCCTGATGATCGTAACAGCACTGTGAGAAGCACACATACAGATCTAGATTTGCTTCACTGCTCTTGGTAGCTCCGGTGGTATTCCATTGTTTGGGCATCCCACAATTATTTCAGAATCTTAGTTCTGGTCACCTCTCAGCTGGGCTGTTTTTAGTCTTTTGTGACTGTGAACTATGCTGCAATGAGTTTCCTTCTATATAGATAGATCTTTGTGACTATATACATCTATAGGATGCTTTCCTAGAAAGAGTGCAATCTATACGTGTATGTGACTTGCCCTCCAGAAAGATTTTGCCAATTTATACTTAGAGCAGTAAGACTATTCTTATTTTCCTATATCCTGACCAACTTTCTGATCTTTGAGAATCTGGTAAGTGGAAAACTTTGTCCTTTGGTTTTATTTTCTATTTTTCTTGAGTGCAGTTGAGCATTTTCCTATTTATTTTCAGGCATTTGGGGTTAGATTTATCAGTGAATTGTCTAGTATGTTTGTCTATATTCCTATTACATTTTGGTCTTTATCCTGGTGATTTGTAACTATTTTTTCTTTATTTAGGAAATGAAACCTTTTCTAAAATATGTTGTCATATCTTTTGTTTTTGTGGAATTTGCTATGTGCAGGTTTTAAGTTTTTCATGGTTACATATTGGTCTGCTATTTTATGGTTTCTGGGTTTTCTTCTTAATTTCAAAAGGTTTCCCACTCTGCAATTATAAAAATTTTCTCTTGTGTTTTTAGTATTCCCTTTTCAATGTTCTGTGGAATTTATTTTGGTGAAAGGAATAAGGTAGTAGTCCAGATTATTTTTTCAGATAGGTATCCCACTTTTCCTGATACGACTTATTGAATAATTTTCATCTGACTTTTCTCTATTTATGTGGAAAAGCCCTTACTTTAGGACAGTTTTAAAGGCAATCTACCTTTTTTTTTCTTCTTTTTTTCTTTTTTTTGAGACAGAGCCTCAAGCTGTCACCCTGGGTAGAGTACCATGACAACACAGCTTACAGCATCCTCCAATTCCTGGGCTCAAGCAATTCTCCTGCCTCTGCCTTCCGAGTAGCTGAGACTGCAGGCACCCGCCACAATGCCTGGGTATTTTTTGGTTGCAGCCATCATTGTTTGGTGGGCCCAGGCTGGATTCAAACCTGCCATCTCAGGTGTATGTGGCTGGTGCCTTAGCCAGTTGAGCCACAGGCGCCGAGCCAGGCAATCTACCTTTTTATAATAGATTTTTGGTTAATAGGACACAGCAGATATAATTGTGTCAACCTCCAACTCTTCTCAGACACTATGATATAATGTTTTTACTTGTGGAGAAGACAAAAGAAGAATGTAGCTGATAATCTCTCTTGGAATAGCCAGTCTCCTGTGATTTTTTTTTTTTTTTTTTAATGAGACAGTCTCACACTGGTGCCCTGGATAGAGTGCCATGGTAGCTCATGGCAACCTCTCTTGTGCTTAAGAGATCTTGTCTCAGCCTCCTGAGTAGCTGGGACTATAAGCACCTACCACTATGCCCAGCT